ATGGCCTCCAACCTACCAGCGATGGCCTCCAACCTAAGAGCGATGGCCTCCAACGTAAGATCGATGTCCAACCTACTAGCGATGGCCCCAACCTACTAGCGATGGGTTCCAACCTACCAGCGGTGCTATGTGGCTGTGGCTTCTTGTTGAAGTTATAACTTAGGTTATAAGTTCTTTAACGTAGGTTATAAACTATATAAGTATTTTAAGTATTCGCCTCTACTTATAACTAATTTGGTGATCTTATAACTAACTTATTGTATTTATGCTCTCTACTTAGTTCCTACTTAAGGTTAACTTAGGTGCGACTTAGGTTGAACTTAAGACCCATGTTTTTGAACTATTTGACGTGATTATGTTTTGTCATTTGTGGCTCAAGGGACCCGTTGCACGCTTATATATGAACGGCGAAAGGTGAGATAGGTTTTGTCCGTTCGAACTATGGCCAATCTGCAGGTCTGTCAAATCCTTCAAGTCTTGGTGGACAGACTTGATGGGGCGACAGGACACTTGCGAACGGAGCAGGTACAAGGCATTTGCGCCTGCGCAAAGTGGATGAGGTCTGAACTTGCTTGAACTTTTCTGAACTTTTCTTGGTGGACTTATTTTCTGAACTTCGAAAGGATGAGGGTCGCGGCCGAGCTATCCATATCCACATCGGATAGATCGGCGTAGCTGTACTGCCCAAACAGACCTCTTTCCATGGCCAGGGCACAAAAAAATGCGTGCTCTGGAGGGTTGGGGGAATGTAGGCGAGGAATCTAGAAAATCAAGCTTTTTAGATGTAGGCGCAACTAAAGTAAACATACAGACAATGTAGGCGAAATGTAGGCGAATGTAGGCGGAGCAAACGCAAGCGCAGCTTCTGGTGGCTTTTTTGAGTTGCTTTGTTCCGCAGCACGGGAGCAAGCAAGCACAAATGGAGCAAGCAAGCCGGCCTGCACTGGAGATCAGGCTGCATTCACAGATCCAACCCTCCGGCAAAGCATAAAGTGTCATTTGGTCTCAAGGAGACTGCGCGTGGCAGATGTGTTGCTTTGGGAAGGTGAGTCAGCTGGCCAAATTGAGAACATTGTGGAAGGTGACTCTACGTCCACATATTGCGTAGCAATGTGGTGGCGCTGGGATGATGACAAGAATCTCCTCCTATGTTTGCACTGAAAACGTTTCGCGAGTCGAAAAAAAGGGAGTTCTTGCGTAAAATGAACGAATCAAAAAAAATATGATTGAAAAAACCAAGGCCTACTTAAGTCCTACTTATAACCTAGGTTTTAACTCCTATAAGTCCACTTATGCATAAGTTCGATAACTAAGTTATTACATCTACAAGTTAGTTACAAAAAGCCACAGCCAAATAGTGGCCTCCAACCTACCGGCGATGGCCTCCAACCTAAGAGCGATGGCCTCCAACCTAGAAGCGATGGCCTCCAACCTAATAGCGGTCGCCTCCAACCTAGAAGCGATGGCCTCCAGCCCAAGATCGATGGCCTCCAACTAGAAGCGATGG